TGGTACAAAATCTATGATTTTCTTGTAATGGCCCAAGCGGATTATGTTGTAAAAAATATTAATCTACCAATTCGTGAAGAAAAAATGAAAAAAATTCCTACAGTTTTGTCAGAATACGTCGATTTATAACAGCTCCTCACGCCGATTTAGATAGGTAAATTCAAGAAATTTGAGACTTTTGGCTGTTCTGAGCTCGAGTCTTACTCCCTCACTTACATACTATTGCTTTGTTCAAATTGGCCCAAGTGGATTCGTGGAGGGAATATAATAAGCTTGAAGCTGATATAAAACTTAGTATGATTGGTTGGGTAGTTTTATCGAAAAATCAGAAAATATAAAATACATCTAATTTACGATTGCCTCTCATGGGGTCAAAAAATCTCTCAAGCGTGATGGTCCGATTCACTGATATGACGTCATATTTATGTTTGCTTGACTTGTGTTCGCAGTGTTTGACTTCTTTTTTCGTGTAATTTTGCCTAATTTAGTTATCAGTTGGATTTTTTGCGTGTTTTTATTACCTTTATTAAAAAACAAATGTACCAAGACAAGATACTTGCAGCAATTAGGCTATATTTCTGCAAAAAAATTTTTTTGTTAGTATTTTAACCCCATAATGAAAATGAAACAAACGCAATGTTTTTAATTTGTCGATCCAAACTACTTGTACAGCGGGGTTGATTTGACCCCAGTTCGCTGCTTTCGTGATAGCTGGACGAGCAAATGTTAGAAAGCGGCAAAAACGTTTCCACGGTTTCTGCTCTTGCAAAGCTTGCTCTGATGTTTATTACTGGTGAACATTATAGGTTGAAAACGTAGTTGAAACGTTTTGAAGGTGGATGTGAGGTTTATAAAATTAAATTAAATTGTATAAGCTATGATAATGATGGTGTTATTGTCGACTACTTTTTCGGGGTTACAATCGCTCGTTAATAATATAGGCACATGAAAATTATACAATGTATAGGGTGGACTGATACTAAAAATCAATGTGTTGTTTTTCTCAAGAATACGGAACTCAATTACTATTTTAAATAACATTTAATTACGGTACCTTTAATCTGTAACTTAGTCCGATAGCTTATAAAAACCTTTATATCGAGCATGTTATGGAACGGTAATAGATCACTTTGTATTCCTACAGATGAACTTTCGCGTAAGTTGAGACAATGCTCTGACAGTTGTTAAATGTTTTATGTTTAAATTATATTGTATGAATTTATATTGCGCATATCTGTAAGAGAATTGCATTCAAATTCTCTGAAGGCGCTACAGGACGTGTCTGTATTACATTGCTCTCGGTTAGTATTAAGAACTGTAGTGCTATGGGTAGGTCTGTACATGAAAGTTAAGGAGCAACTTCAAAAAATTAATCATAGTTTGGTGCCTGTATTTTTAGTTCCATAAGTAATCATTATGCCGTTTTCCGGACCCCAATACTAGACTTAGAAAGAATGGGATTATACAGTATCTGATGGGAACAGCTAGATTAATTTTATAGTATTGCACCAGGATAGTGTCAGGCGGATAATCGCAGGATGACTTCAGTAAAAAAAAAAAAACTTTATGAACCTGAGTGTATCCCAGAGTACTGCCCAATTCACCACGAAAATGTACAGTAAATACAAATATATATTGGCCTATTTATATATAATACGAGAATATGTTTTCATGTTTTTCAAGAGATATGCTTTTCTTTTATGTAAGCACAGAATTCATTCATCGCAATAAATTCTGTGTGCCTACATATGGACTACACATTAAGAATCTCCAAACAGCGTCGCAGAGAAATGGGAATAGATATTTTGTATATATTTTAGATTATGAACACCATATTTGTTTATTTTGTCTTATATTGCTTTATACCTGTATAAAAAAAAATCAAAAAAATCAGGGGCCCTAAATTAAAATAATAATCATAATGGGGGATAAGAGAAAATTACATTCAAATTTTGATTCTGATAGTGCCAATTCCGGGCATCTAAAAGTGCATCTTTAGAGATAGAAAATGTGTACCTCAGCCCCATAACCATGCCATGCCATGGTGGGGCTGGGGTAATATCGACAACTTATATGTAAAAAGTAAAACTGATTTTCTGTAACCCCTCTAATTCAAATTCCAGGATCTGCCACTGTTTAGTTTTATAATTGTATGGAAAGATTCTTTCATCTTTGTGTCACATACTTAGCAAACGCGTTTTACCACGGTATAGCCATATTATCAGTAATAGGGGCCTATGTTTTTTTTTCCATTAGCGTAACCAATCAAAGTTCTTGATCGGATAATAAGTTAAACAATATAAATCAATTGTGAAATTGATAGGAATATTAACTGAGAACGATTAAATTAGTATTTTTCATTAATGTTGATTGAATTCTTTGTACTATGTTTTATTAAATGCAATATATTAGCCTATTTTTTCTAATTGTCCAGAATCTTCAATAGTGCATCCACCTACATTTGTAATGTTAGTTTATTTCTATCTATTATATATTCACCAGAATTGTATTTTGGTAAGTGTTCTACTCTTTGGCGTTGATTTGAAAAGTACGAGATTTAATTTCAAATTATCGCACGATCTTTACCTGTCTGCTGCACCGACCAAGAAGTCAGTGACTGTATTCTTTCTCGAATGCTTTAAGAAATATTTATTTCTTTGACGAATGTATGAAAATAGTATTACAAACATATTATTCTAACACAATACAAATTACAATATTGGCTATGTTCTCACACGGCAGCTAACGGTTAGCAGGATCCGGATGCTGCTAACCGTTAGCTTCCATACGTCCATACCAGAAAATTCCGATCCGGATACCAAGAATATGATGATCGAATCACTGGCCAATAAGAAACTGGAATTTGTAAACGCGTACGTTAGCCTGGTTGTAAAACTGCTGAAATGAACTTTAGCAGGAAAAAAGTAAATGAAAATTTATATTTGGTTTTTCTGAATCAGCATACCCTACAGTGTCTCAGAAACAAAATCCCCATGCCTAGGGCATTTTTTTTACAGCACTTTGAAATTTTGGCCTAAAATACCCTATTTTTAAACTATTTAAGATGGGGGTAGGGAAATAAATTTATGTTTTTAGTCACTTTCACAAATACTGTGGATATGAAATATAGCAACAGTTTGGCTAAATAGTTACTCAACACTCTCATTAAAAAAATTGAATTGAATGATGATGTCATCATGACAAATTCCAAGATGGCATCCATTATTATGGGAAAAACTATGTTTTCATTGTAAAAATAATTGTATTGTTATCAACTCATCAATATCATTCTCGGTTGATGAGTAGAAGGAAGATGATGAGGTAGATGATGATTGATGATGATGAGGAAAAAGATAATGCTGATATGGTGAGCATAATGATGATAATAAGGAGGAGGATTAGGATGATGAGTTGATGATGATGAAGATAAGGATGATGATTATTATGATTAATGAGAAAGATATTGATAAGGACAATCCTCATCTTCAGACTTCAAACTCATTATATGTATATAATGCACACATGTTATCGTGCCAAGGTCATTATTTCTAAATATTGGTTTCTTACTGCCAATTATATATAAATAACCGTTGAGGTCGAGTGCCATTATATATAAATAATGACATTGTAAGAAGTCATGGTTTATAAATAATTCGTTATGCAAATTACGAAGTAATGAATATTCACCAGTGCTCTAAAGTTACAATTAGGTGCTACTGTGTGTTGTCTACAGGTCGCAGACAATCACCATTCTAAAATGGCACAGCAAGGGATATCTATTTGTGCAATGCCACTCAAATAAAAGCGCGTAACTGAGCTTTGTCTACAAAAACAAATTTTATCAAAAAAGCATCACATACAATTTAATGGAACATAGAGTTGAAAACGTTCAACCTTTTTTGATACAATTTGCTGATATGTGACATGACGTCATCGTACCCATCTTAGCACATCACATTTGTTGTCACATAAAATCTGATAGTGTAGACAGAGTTCGCGTTGTTACACATTTTCGAATACAGAGCTCTGGAAACGCGTTGTACACGCAAATCCAGCATAATGGAGCACTAGTGCTCCGAGAACCGGGATTTTGCACCTCTGTAAGGCAAAAGGTCCTCGGGTCATAAGTGTGTGATCAAATTGAGGTCAAATAGAAAACCATGGACACACACCCACACCCACACCCACACACCCACACGCACACACTACCCCATATATGTGTATATATATATATATATATATATATATACATACATACAAATTTATGTATAATATATATATATATATAATGTGGTTGTTGTGATCGTTCAACTAAAAGTCACATTGGCTATTAATTAAGTTTCTGCAGAGAGCAAGGAAAGAAAATATGGTTTTTAAACAGTATGCAGAGTAATATGAATAATTATTTATTATGATTTTAAAATAATTTCCCTTCAATATAGAAAAACTCCATAAACTAATAAATTAACCAAAGAAACAGAATCAATTAGTATAATAATAATAATAATAATAATAATAATAATAATGATAATAATAATGAAAACAATGATAATAATAATAATGATACATAATAATAATAATAATAATAATAATGATAATAATAATAACGGTAATAATAATAAAACATAATAATACATAATAATAATAATAATAATAATAATACATAATAACAATAATAATAATTATAATTATTATTATAATTATTCATTATATTATGTAAAATATTACATATATTATTACATTTAATTTAGACACACATATAAAGATCAAATATAATAATATAGTATGCATATTATGGGCTATGAGACCATTGAGTTTATGATTATTGAGATGGTTTTTTTTCTTGTTGTTAAGCGCCTTGATGCTTTTGCGGAATGCCCTATAGAAGAACTTAATCGGATGATTAAATAAAGTGTTATAATGCTATGAGTGTGTTAATAATGTAATATAAGTACCCAGTGTACACGATAATAAAATATATTATACAGAATCAAACTTACCTTGAATGCATTCGAAATCAATTTCCAAGTACTTGTAGGTACCGTAACAGGGATTATAACCACCAAGCAATCTCGATATACTTGTGAACAGAGAACACTCGTATTGACAATTGCATTTGTCAGCAATAACGTTCAGCGCATTATCCCGCTCACCACAATTAGTATTATCAGTGTCGAAAGAAGTATGATCGCAATATACATATCCAGTTTCTTGACGACCAAATGTTGCAGATTTCACGTGTATGAAATGACTTCCATTGCATTTTAGGGTTGCCCATGTATTTTGACATGTTATGTCTATTGATAGGTAAATTATAAAACAGAAAAAAATACATTTATTTTGATTTTAATATTATAGACATATTCATTAATTTATTCATTTATAAATTAATTAAATCATTATCTTTTCATTCAATAAACCATCCATGTATCTATTTCGTTCATTTGTTTATTTATAATTTACGGATTCAATCATCCATGAATTAATATATTTATTTTAATTTAATATCCTTAATGCCTATCAAAATAAGAGTTTCTGCATAATTATAATTGTAATCGAGTACTGTATTCCATATCTGTATTAAGTTATTTTAAGCTACTATTGACATTATTATTGTAGAATTTATTCTACAAAGTTAATTACAATTAATTATAATTCTGGGTATGTCACTTAAGGAAGTGTAATGTTAATGTTGATATACTATTAATTTATTTGTGTAATACTTAAGGAAGTGTAATGTTAATGTTACCATACAATTGGTTTATTTGGGGAGATTATACTAGCTTGCTTGTGATTGGTTCATGAGATCATGTGAATATAGGACTGTTTGTGATTGGGTCACATACCAAAGATTGTTTTGTATAATAAGTGAGGGAAATTTGAATTTAGATAAGTTTGGTACAGCTCTTCAAGACTGAAGTTTGTCTTACATCACCACTGCATGTTAGGGTTACCTCACTACTCCCACATACTATGTTTATTGATAGGTAAATTATAAAAAAGAAAAGAATACATTTATTTTGTTTTTAATATTTTAGACCTATTATTTAATTCAATCATTAATTAATTAATTCATTCATGTATTAATCCATTTCGTTCATTTGTTTGTTTATAATTTACAGATTCAATCATCCATGAATTAATATATTTATTTTAATTTAATATCAATACATCAATGCAACAATCCGCCCATCAATCCATCAATCTATCATTCATCAGTTTATCCTCCTTCCATGCATACATCGACCCACTTTTTCTTTTATACATTCGTTCATTCATCTATTTATTCATCCGTTTACTTATTCATATACATATATATATATGTATATATATATATTATATATATATATATATATATATAGAACAGCACTGTATATATA